TATCCTCATCACCATCATCATGTATAATCATTGACCATCATTATCATCTCCATGTATTATCATCATAACTATTGTCGTCTTGTATCAACCTCATCACCATTATCATTATGTATCATCATCGACTAACATCACTACATCATCATCATCCTCATCGCTATCATGTAACATCACCATCGTCAATGTATCTAGGGAATGGCATAGTGGCTGATAGTGCTATTGGTATTATTGCCTTCCTTTAACCGTTTCTATTATCTATTCTCTACCCCTTTATACCTCCCTTTCTTCCTTCCTTCCTTCCTTCCTTCCTTCCACTCCCTATCTCTCCCCTATTTCAAACCTTTGTTTATTACAGATCGAGGCCCGTTCAGTCGAACACTACAAGACCCTCACCAAAGGAATGGAAATGAAAGTCATCTCACTACAACAAAGACTGGATGAAGAGGTAAGCGATTCATATACATGGGCTTCCTGTGGTAAGCCTAGAACACAGGAAGCCCAGTCGTTCAAAATTTCTATTATAGAAAAAAATCAGGTTTTCATATCTAGCACTAAATAGCGGAAATTTTTTCGAGTTCCATCTAAACACAGTTTATATTTCCCAAACAAATATACTTTTCTTTGCAATTTCTACATGATTTCCTCCAAGAATAGTCCGTTGTGTTTGTTTGGACAGAATTTGCATTAACGTCATAATATTTGCATAAGAAGAGGCTACAACGTTATGAAAGAAAAGCAATATTTTTTGATTGTTTGAAAATGAAATTTCGCTTTTAAATCATAAAAAAAACCAGTATTTTTTCAAAAATTATATATTTGATCCCCCTTGAACCTAGGTTTTCTTGGAATTAAATTAATTGGTTTGTGTTTGGCTGCTTGTGCATACTTAAGTGACGCGTAGAACAAGTGCAACCAAGCGAATAAAGCGTCTTGAAATTCAAGAAACAATCAGATAAGATTTAAGTRAGCAACATTTTAATGGAATAGTTTTTACATAAGTTTAGTGCAAAATTTTCGGAGAAATATTGCAATAGTTGTGTTATTATTTAGAGAACAAAATTTCATAAAATTTGTCAAAATCATTTCAAATCCTTCAAGCGTATCCATTCATTTTACAATGCCTTACGTGAGAAGTGTTTAGGAAGCTTTAACTGTAGTAGGATCTGATGTAGATGTCATATTTAGTGATTTAGATGTGGTGTTTAGCGGTGGAGTCGTTGGGCAAGGTATTTCACATTCTGCTGTTTCACTATCGGCTCCTTCACAAGCTTTCCCTCCGTGTTGAGGAACAGGATTATTACAGGTTCTTSTTCGTACGTGTTTTCCTTTACCACAGTTCTTATCTCCAGTTATTTCACATTTACTAAATGCTCCCCAGCTTGAGTAACCGCCATTGACAGGACAAGGTTGAACATTACAATCCATCTTCTCGATAGAACTTCCTTCGCAAGCTTTCCCTCCGTATTGTGGACTCGGGTTTGCACATTTTCGAGTCCTTACTTTTACTCCTCCGCCGCACGCCTTATCGCATTCTCCATAACTACTCCACTCTGTATAACCTCCATCAATAGGGCAGTGATCTACGATGTAACATTTGCCTGTCATATACGAAGGTCCTTCACAATCTTTGCCAATGACTCCCGGTCTTGGAGCAGTGCATGTTCGAGATCTGCCACGTAATCCTTCTCCACAGGTTTTGGAACACACAGACCAGCTAGTCCATTGAGTGTATCCCCCAGGAGTAGTTTCAGAATATATAAAATACCCTAATGCTGAAAATATTAAGACTATTATAACATAAAGGAGGCTAAATCTACCTCGACAGCAGCCTGTCGACATGTTGATTTAACTGGTCTCACTTGTCTACTGTCAGACACGTGACATGGAGTAGCAAGTCATAGCATTGTCATGGATACGGCGTGTATTCGATTCATTGTTTTTAAAGTTGAAGGATGCTTCAAGGCCCGGTTGTACGAAGGATGGATAGCCCTACTCGCGACGGATAAATCTTATTCAGTGGATAAATTTATTGGATAACAGTATTGACTCATCCACTGGATAAGATTTATCTTTCAGATAGCGCTATCTACTATTTTTGTACATCCGGGCCCAGATTTACAGGATTGATCCGATTCTGGTGTTAGACTTGGCATGGTTTTTTGTGCTTTAGGGGCAGAAGTCATTAGACTGTAGCTCTTGACGTTTAGTTAAAACACTCTTGGTTGTAGAAGATGGGGCGCGTCTCGCCGGGACCTCGAGTCCGTTCGTATGTCCATCATTATGTTTGTTAGCTTATATATTTTTTGTTTTGTTTTGTTTTTCGTTTTTGTTCTCCTTCGTAAGTCAAGCGGGATAAAACCTCTAAATAATATAAACAATAAAGAGATTGATAGGAAAGAGTTAAGAAATAGAAAGGATGAGAAAGTAGGAAAAGAAAGAAATGAGGATACCAAATTCGAATTCGGTCATGAAGCGAGGGCCCAACAGGTTTATTAGCCACTGGCTGTGAGCCATTCCGAGGGAAGGGAAAAACTGGAAAAACTGGTTCGAGTTGACATTGCGTTGCATTGTGGGGCTATTTTAGGGGACTCAATAGACGCCATCTTGGAAATATGTTTCCTAAACCAGCCCCACAATGCAACGCAATACCAACTCGACCCAGTTTTCCACTCGATCTCAGAATTTCTGTCAATCATTTTTGTAGACTGAGGGTCTTTGGACTAATGCATGTCAATGGTGTAATATTTGCATATTAAGGATGGAATGCATGATGCGCCCTGCAGTRAAAGGTATTTTCCATACACCTATGACAGCGTTACGTAAACAAAAAATAAACTTTAGTATATTCGTTATCCTCACGTGAGTAAATAATCCTGAGTTGTTTACAATACAAAAGTCAGATTCGATATGTTAAAGATTTTTTTTTTTTCATCTTAAAGATAATTATACAAAAGATGTAGTGACTGAACAAAGCAGTGAAAACTAACCAAGCGAAACTGAACACGCGATATATAACCAAAGAATACGTTTTCAAACTATTCAAAAGTTTAAATTTTAGATTTTTGTACAATTTTTTTGAAGACAAATTGATCTTTTATTCCATATGATCTTTTGAACACATTTGGGTAAGTTTGTGAAAGGAAAAATATATTTTTTAAACGTTTTGAAATACCTCAGTCTGATTTAGTATTGATAGAGTTTTCACTCGTAAACAATTATAACGATGCTTTAGCTTTGGTAGTAGACTAGCCATGGTAGGATAGTTTGTAGATGTTTCTAGTGGAGGAAACTTTTAACCGACAAATATAACTGTGGTTGTGATAAATATAGGAAATTTAGAGAATGGATTTTTTTCCTAAAATTTGTCAAAGTCGGTTCAACTCCTACAAGCATATCTATTCCTTTAAGAATCAGTTTACATGCGTGACATATTTACAAAGTTAGGAAGCTTTAACTGTAGTAGGAGCTGATTTAGATGTGGTATTTAGTGATTTAGACGTGGTACTTAGTGGTGGAGTCGTTGGGCAAGGTATTTCACATTCTGCTGTTTCACTATCGGCTCCTTCACAAGCTTTCCCTCCGTGTTGAGGAACAGGATTATTACAGGTTCTTSTTCGTACGTGTTTTCCTTTACCACAGTTCTTATTTCCAGTTATTTCACATTTACTAAATGCTCCCCAGCTTGAGTAACCGCCATTGACAGGACAAGGTTGAACATTACAATCCATCTTTTCGATAGAACTTCCTTCACAAGATTTCCYTCCGTATTGTGGACTCGGGTTTGCACATTTTCGAGTCCTTACTTTTACTCCCCCGCCGCACGCCTTATCACATGCTCCATAACTACTCCACTCTGTATAACCTCCATCAATAGGGCAGTGTTCGAGAAAATAACATTTGCCTGTCATATACGAAGGTCCTTCACAATCTTTGCCAATGATTCCCGGTCTTGGAGCAGTGCATGTTCGAGATCTGCCACGTAATCCTTCTCCACAAGTTTTGGAACACACAGACCAGCTAGTCCATGGAGTATATCCCCCATGAATAGCATTTTTAGAATATATGATATATCCAAATGTTGAAAATACTAGTACCAAAAATAAGGAAAAAGGTGACTTGTGGCATTGTCTTGGCATCCTTACCCAGTGTAGTGATTCCCGAATGGTYGGGTTTCAATCAACTGTTTGAAGTCTTTGCATCTTATTATCCGCTTTAAGTATTTTTCAAACACTGACCACTATGTGCTGTCAGCCAGAATGAATTCCTGGGTTTCAATCAGCTGTTAAGGTGGAACCAAACTAATTCAGAGCGAATTTGGGCAATTTTATTCTCGCTCGCATCGCAAAACATATGCGTCAATTTAACTGTATTTTTCATATGATGTGCTTGGATTATCCTAGATTCTAACAGTGTATTTTATTTTAAGATTTTTTAAATGTTTAGCCTATTACGGCCGAAAATCAAACAGTGCTATTTTTAGGGGTTTTTTTTCCCTCATCCCCAGGTACGATTTTTCTGAAAATTTCAGAATCTTATCATCTAGTACTATTGCAGCCTGTGTATAAATTTGGATGGAAAGTCTTGGGCAGAAAAAAAGTTATGACGCCGCTTGAAAATTCGATCCAAAATTTGAAGCATATGAAACATCGCGCTTTAGAAACATTACCATTGAATGGATTGCCTTGAAGTTTTCACATACCTATTTCCAAGTATTGCGGATGAGCATTACGAAAAATCAGCATCAAATCTTAAAAACTCATTGAATAAATGTTTTTTTTTTACTAATTGTCGTTGTAAACCTCAAAAATGAGAGTTTTGCTAAAAATCACATTTTCGCCGTTTTCTTCAAAACGGCTCCAAGTTTTTTCTTTAAACTTCCTACATCAATAGACCAGAGCTTTATCTAAATGGTAGTGAAATTTCTACAGCTCGTCCTATCCACATTTTGGAGAAAACATTTTTTAAAGTGAGGTGTACCTAAAGAGCTCACCTCGTCGGTCGACAACAACGCAATAGGCTAAACRTTTAAAAAAACTTAAAATAAAATACACTGTTAGAATCTAGGATAATCTAAGCACATTACATGAAAAATCCAGTTAAATTGACTCACTAGTTTTGCGAAGGGAGAGAGAATAAAATTGTCCAAAATTCGCTCTGAATTAATTTGGTTCCACCTTAAATGTCTAGTGATATAAGTGCACTTGTCACGCTTGTCACTTTAATGTTTTGAAATTTCAAAGGGATTTTATTGTTCTRCCATCTAACCACAGGAAGCCCAAACTGTATTATGGGATGTGAACGTGATGGTGCAAAACCTCTATTGTGAATCAGTCTAAAAGCTAATTCTCATTGATTTTCAATTTTCCCTCTACAGGTCAAGAAGAAGAAGGAAGCCAACCTTGCCGTACAGGAGCTGCAGCATGTCCGTAAAGACCTTGACGAAGCAAAACAATGGAAGATAAGGTGTGAGCAAGCGAACGCCAGGCTGGCTGAGGTCGAGCTGGTGGTCGTAGAACTCAGGGAAGAACTCGCCAAGCTTAAAGAAGAATATAAAGAGCTACAGAACAGAACTGACGCAGAAAGAAGCGAGAAAGATCAGGTTTGTTTGGTATATGTTTATTAACCTGAATGCATGAGTTTACGAGATGTCTGCGGTATTTTACATACCCGGTATCTACCCGATATCCGATACACCTCGTATCTCTACTACAAACGTTATGGTATCTAGTAGAAACGATATGCATACGGCATTCTTACATACCCGGTATCTACCCGATAACCAATACACGGTATGTATCCGGTATTTTTACATACTCGGTATTATTACATCCCCGGTACTGACTACCTGATATCCGATACACCTCGTATATCTACTACAAACGTTATGGTATCTAGTAGAAACGATATGCATACGGCATTCTTACATACCCGGTATCTACCCGATAACCGATACACGGTATGTACCCGGTATTGTTACATACTCGGTATTATTACATCCCCGGTACTGACTACCTGATATCCGATACACCTCGTATATCTTGTACAAACAATATTTACCGGTATCTACTATGAACGATATGTAAGCGATATTGTTACAAACCCGCTATCTACCGATAACCGATACACTTCGTATATTTGTGTTACTCAAAACCGGCTTCAAAAGTTTAGTAATTGGTTATACAGTACATATGTGGAAATTAAAGCTAACCGTACTGATATGAGGGATGACTTTTACCCGATATATAGGGTACCATATATTACCGCCTTGTCATTCATTGTCTCAATTTGGTTTGGCTCATGTTCAAAGTTTGACCTGGGCCATAGATACCCGATATGCCGGATACCCTGGGGAAAACCGGGTATACCCGGTACATAATTTCTTGACTCGGCTCTTTATGTTATATTTGTGTACAGGAAATCAGTGCACTCACAGAGCAAGTCAATAATCTAAGGAATGAGCTGAACGAAGCAAACATTAAAGCTGAGTCGGAAGTCAAGTCTCGTGAAGGTAAGGATTGTCTTGATAAGTATAACGGGTTACCTGTGGTTTGCATAGGAAAGAAAGAATTAATACTCAAGGGAATGACACGAAGTGGAAAACATTGTACCATAGCTGAAAAGCATTCCTAGTAAACAAAGAAATAATACTCAAGGGAATGACACATGGTCTGAAATGGGAAAACATTGCACCATAGCTGAAAAGTATTCCTAGTAAAGAAAGAAATAATACTCAAGGGAATGACACATGGTCTGAAATGGGAAAACATCGTACCATAGCTGAAAAGCATTCCTAGTAAAGAAAGAAATAATACTCAAGGGAATGACATGGTCTGAAATGGGAAAACGTTGTACCATAGCTGAAAAGCATGGCTAGTAAAGAAAGAAATAATATTCAAGGGGATTACACATGGTATGAAATGAGAAAACACTGCACCTTAGCTGAAAAGCATTCCTAGTAAAGAAAGAAATAATACTCAAGGGAATGACACATGGTCTGAAATAGGAAAACATTGCACCATAGCTGAAAAGCATTCCTAGTAAAGAAAGAAATAATACTCAAGGAATGACACATGGTCTGAAATGGGAAAACATCGTACCATAGCTGAAAAGCATTCCTAGTAAAGAAAGAAATAATATTCAAGGGGATTACACATGGTATGAAATGAGAAAACACTGCACCTTAGCTGAAAAGCATTCCTAGTAAAGAAAAGAATTAGTACTCAAGCGAATGACACGTGAAATGAAACGGCGATTCATTACGCATTATTTCGAATGAAACCTTTTTTACTATATAACCTTTCCGTGATAATTTTTGACACTTACTCCGAGTGTTCTACTGTTTTTTCTAGCGATAATTGAACAAAGTCTGGATAATCAGCGTAATCAGATCTTGGGTGAGTTCGAAGCAGAGAGACTGAACCATCAACGAGTGTTGCGTGACTATGATCGTCTTGAACAGCGTTACCAGAACATCGTTGAAGAACTGGAAATCGTGCAGACAAGTCCCAAGAAGACGTTCCATGATTCTGGTAGAATTAGCTCGGCGAGCTCAGGTAACAGTTCTTCGATTTCAAGTTTATGTCGCTCGTTCGCGATATGCCAGGAAAACTCGTGAAGAAATCAATATCAGGTTCTTAGGGCTGCGTTCTTAATGTATGGCGGGGGGAGGGGGGGGCAGGTGAAAATTTGAAATGTCCAGAATAATTCTCAACACCCCCCCTTAAGGTCATGCAAAAAATACTGTCCCCCTAAGCAAGGCATGTAGCTTCTTCCAAAAATTATGCATCCCCCACCCCCATTTTTCTGATACAGATTTTCCCATCCCCCCTTTTTCCTACCAAAATTTTCCCGATCAATTTCACCTGCCCCCCCCCCCATACATTATGAACGCAGCCTAAATAGACTTGCTACATGTCGTTCACTCTTTCTCTCCATGCCCATGGAAGGACAGTTTGGCAAGCTCGAAGCGCTAACATATTACAAAGTCGATGACTTGTTTCCCTTGCGTTTCGCGGTAAAAATGTCGCTATTAGTTGCTTGATATAATCCTTTCACTGACGGAAAAACCCGTCGGTTAATTTGGCGCGAAGCAGAAATAAAACGTCCTCGATTCTGCCAGTAAAGAAAGGGCCAGAGGAATTTGAGAAAGTTTAGATCTTAACATGCATGGACGTACGTACGGACGGACGTACGGACGGAAATGACGTAGTCAAGCAATGAAAAATCAACTCGATGGGTTACCATTATTTTATAATCTCTATATATCCTATTCTACCCCTCAAAGGATTTCTTCGAGCCAAATATTTTGAATCTTGGTTGCAGAATCATCACTCGTGGACGACTTAGAAAAGGACATCCAACAACGCACAAYAGACGAAGACCTCAGTTCCATCATTAATAGAAGTAAACTAGTCAACCGTTTACGAGAAAAAATAATGGCTCTTGAAGATCAAAATGTTGACTTAAAGAGCCGTTTGAAACAACAGGATGTTGGCCATTCAGAGAAGACATTAACAAAGGCTCCTTCCATTCACGTCGAGGGAGAACCACTAACAGCTCCTTCAGAAAAACAAGTTGTTGAATCCGAAAAATATAAACATTTGCAGAATGAGAGAGATAAGTTGAAAGAGCAGAAAGAAAAGGCTGAAGCGGAGAAGAAAAAGATGAATTCTGAGTTGGACTTGTTGAGGAAACTTGTGAGTCAGAGGAATATTGATAAGGAGGCGGAGTGGGAGATAATAGGTGAGAAGATGAAGGAGATTACGTCTGAGAAAGACCTACTGGAAAGAGAAAAGGTAAGGGAACTGTCATGCGTGTATGTCAGCAGCAGTAACAGGGCATTGGTTCATTATCATTATCATTAACATCATCAACGTCATCATCGGGCATCACCATCATTATCTTGTTACATCATCATCAATATCATGACCTTCATCATTATTGTCATTATCATCACCATTACTATTACCATCATCATCATCGTCACCATCATTATAATTATCTTGTTACATAATAATCATCATTACCAGCATCATCATTATCATCATCATCATCACCACTAGTATCATTATCATCATCATTACCAGCATCATCATCATCATCACCACCACTAGCATCATCATCATCATCGCCATCATTATCTTTCATTAACTTGTAAATTAATAATAATAATGATAATAATAATCACCAATATTTTGTAAAATAATGATTGTTATCATTATCATCACCATCAATATAATGTAAATTAACAATAATCGTTATTGTTGATTCTGGTTTTTTTGTTGTTGTTTTTTTTGTTTCAAGAATCGTCTTCGTGGTGAGTTGATCAAGATGTCTTCTGTTGCTAAGCAACTACGTGACCTTGACGAGCTGCTGTCAGCCAACCCTGACGAGAGCGCATACCTCCTACAGGTATGTCACTCTAAACCTCTGTAGAAGCTACGCTAATCCCGCGGGAATCATACACATTTCACTGATACCCCTAGGAATTTCAGGACGCCTCCTAAATCCCATAACATCCTGTACCCAAGGCGGGAGTCCCGCGAGAAATATATATGTTTTTCCGTTAACTTCCATATTTCAGTAAAACATGATTTTGGGTTTCCTACGGGAATCCCGCGGGAATCTTACACATCTTACTGATATCCCTAGGAATCTCAGAACGCCTCTTAAACCCCATCATATGCCGTCCCATGCGAGAAAACCGCGGGAGATATGTATTTTTCCCCGGTAACTTCCATATTTCAGTAAAACATGATTTTAGGTATCCTGCGGGAATCCTGCGGGAATCCCGCGGGAATTTCTCCGTATCCCGAAAAATCAAAGAATTTGATGTTTTCTTCCAGGCCGATTCTTTGAAAAAAGCGAATAACGTCCTTCAGAAAGAACTAGAAGAATTGATTAAGAAAGAGAAAGATATGAAAGAAGCTAACGAGAAACTATGGCGAGATAAAGCGAAATTACAACGGGTAAGACTCTGTTTACTAAGTTCCTTGAATAGTCCCTTTCACAGTTCCCTGCGCCATCTYGAAAAGTAGCCGTGCCTTTGCATCGAAGTGAGGCGAACGCGGTGAGCTTGCAATGATAGAGACCTTTTTTTAACACTTGGGACAATTATTCACACGTCTCTATCATTGCATTTTGTTTATTTTCCATATTCATTTTGTTTGTGTTTGTTTGTTTTATTTATTTATTTAATTATTTTGATTGGTCACCAAGGGTCGAAGTACTAGTATTCATGCCATGGATAGCAATTTCCAGCAGGAGGTCACGAGACTCGTGACAGAAAATGTGGTATGTTATCTGGATGGGACAGACCTCTCCTCTCTCCCTCCCTACCCTCGCTTTCTCCCTCCCTCCCTCGCTTCCTTCCTTCCTTCCTTCCTTCCTTTCTTCCTTCCTCCCTTCCTTCCTTTAAATGAATGAATTAGAAGTAATCTTTTAGGACATTGTTTCAGGATCTTCGCGAACAAGTCGAAAGATTAGAAAAAGAATTAGAAGAATACAAAAAGGAACAAGGAGCTCTACAGCCGATGAGACAGCGAGCTCAATCAATGAGAGGTACAAGCATCAATATCCCCCTTCTAGACCCCTCTTAGTCAAAACATCATTCTAAAAGACTGCCATGAAAGATGCCTTGCAAATCATTCAAAATCGCATATTTGGATTATTCAGGCTAGTCGATCTATGATTGGTCGTTTAGGTTGCTAAGTTACGTTTATCTTATTAACTGCCAGTTGAGGTCAGCGGTCAGACCCCATTGTGTCTATAACAAAATTTTCCGCCATCTTGGTTACCTTTGATGAATAGACCTCCTCGGCTCTGACGTAATGTTTTCCCATTTCAGACCACCTGTCAATCCCTAGAGTATCGTTTCTTTGTTTAAGGTTTGCGCTCGGTTGCACATGAGTAGACACCTGAATATGGATACAGCTCAAACAAAGAATCTTATTCTCAAGGGAATGACACGTGGTGGGAAATGGGAAAACATTACCCCAAGCCGAAGAGGTCTATTAAGCAGAAATAGTTTTTTATTTTCTATTTTTATTTTTTATTTTTTTAAATAAAATAAAAAATAAAAAATAAAAATAGCAGCAATCGTTTACATTTATTATTTCTTATTGTTTTTAATAGAAATGGAACAAAAGAGACGAGCACAGACGCTRTGGAGTGGACAGGAACCTCGCGCTGGGAAACTTGTAAGTAGTAGACTAGATTTTTGACAAAATCTGAATCCACTGCCAAGGATTTTCATTGTAATCATTTTGGAGCCCTGTGTCTTCCGGATTTTTGGTCAGCGGCTATATAAGACAAAAATTATATTTTGTATTTTCAGGTCATGAGACACGCAGGGCTGCTACGAAGATCACCCTCGAAAGATGAGGTAATCCTATCCTTACTCAATTTGGCTACCCAACGTTACCCAATTTTGTTAACCCCAGTTTACCCAAATTTTCCTGCCCAGATTTGTGACCCAAATTTTTTCGATTTTGTTGTGAAATTTAACACAATTATTTACCTAGTGCTACCAACCCCACGGTACCCACCCCACGGTACCCACCCCACGGTACCCAACCCACGGTAACCACCCCACGGTATCCACCCCACGGTACCCACACCACGGTACCCACCCCACGGTAACCACCCCACGGTACCCACCCCACGGTACTCACACCACGGTACCCACCCCACGGTAACCACCCCACGGTACCCATCCCACGGTACCCATCCCACGGTACCCATCCCACGGTGCCCACCCCACGGTACCCATCCCACGGTGCCCATCCCACGGTGCCCATCCCACGGTACCCATCCCACGGTAACCACCCCACGGTAACCACCCCACGGTAACCACCCCACGGTACCCACCCCACGGTACCCATCCAACGGTACCCATCCAACGGTACCCATCCAACGGTACCCATCCCACGGTACC